TTAGGTATTTTTAATATGGCAAAAAAATAATAAACACCTTATTATTTGGCACAAAATTTTGTGATGAAATTCTTATAGTAGAAAAGGAATGTAAAGTAGTGTGGTGATATGAAAATGTTTACAGACAAAAAGTATCTGTAATAATAATTGTTACAATGCATACAGCAAAGCAAAGTATTAAACAGACAGTACAGTGGCTTAAAAAAATACAAAAAAAATACATGGAAACAGAAAAATAAGTATTTATGAATCACAGACAGTAGTACCAAATTAACAGGAAAAGGACCTTGGTTTTGTCACACAGGATAAAAAATGCATAATGTGTGGCTGCTGCAGAAAACAGGCAAAACATGGAATCCACAAGGAATGCTAAGGGTTGTAATTCAGAACATATTCTCAAAACCAAGTGTTTTGACTTATGTTCACTTGGAAACCTTAGTGTAAAACTGGTCCACTTCCAAGATAATACTGCAGAAAAAGAGCTCGAAGAACAGCAAGAAGGGGTAAGAGTAAAGAAGAATGTTTACAAAGAATATTTACATCAGAAAATCAAAAGGAAGCAATAACAAAGATAAAGAACATTTTATGGTTTTCTGCTGCCTTTGCCTCATAGTAATAGGTGAGAATACTTAAAAGCCTACTTCATATCTAGGGAAATATTTTTCCACAGAATAAATAGACTCCCATATGATGTACAGCATCACTAAAACCAATAAATCAGCAAAAAAAAAAAATGATATTAGACATTTCTGCAAGCATATCCAGAATCACAGTAATCAATGTTATTGGCTGAAATATAAAGTCTCATTTCCAGCCAATTTCTAATTACTAAGAACTGCAGCAGGCTTTCCAGGACAGCAGATCTGCCCACTGCAGCTTCTGCCCTCTCAAGATGACCATTCTCAGAAGCTGCATATTCAACAAAAAATGATTAGATTCGGAAGGCTGAAAGTCAGAGTCTACATTTTTGGTTGTCTGGATGACAAAGCTCCTATCACAGCTACAGCAGATTTAGTTAATCATCCGTGGGGTCTATAATGAATAGAGTAAATGCAGGAATCTACTTTAAATGGATATCAATCTTATCCTAGATACCTGTATTTAGGGGTCTCTAAACCCATCACTGAATCCCAAACTGAAGTTAGGGCAATCTGAATCTCTATCCTGAGTACCATGGAGTACACTAGTTCTCATATTCCTCCAGGACACCTTCCAGAACAATAGTGAAATTGTTTCTTCTGTTACTCTCAGACACAATTAGATAAGATTTTATTTAGTCAGAATTTTCCCTTTTCTGAATGTAAGAAAGTATGAAAGAAAGAAGATAGAAGTAAGAGATTGAGTGTCCATGGCTTTTTGTAAAGTCTTAAATGGACTAGAAGTTGGCCTAACCTAAATCAAATGTATAAGGGCAGCTATGCAAAATAATACCTCAAACCCAGAAATCCTACCTTGAAATTACTCTTCCCTTTCATATTCATCACAGAAGAGCATATCTCAATTATGTGTTTTCAACACCAACTTGGATGGACTAAATACAGGTGCAGCCACAGGATGCCTGTGCATAACCCAGGACATTTTCCCCATACATGTGTCTCAACAGTTGAAAGGCAGCATGGTTAACATCTGCTGACTGTTTCTTGTTGATGTGCATTAAAAGTCCTTCATTATCAAAAGCAGGACAGAGGTAGATAACTAAGCCAAAAGTTAGCCTGTCAAAATCTCCTTTCAAATGACAATTCATAATCGCTTTCCTTGCCATAAAGAATATCATTAATTGAATATGCCTGTTCAAGAAACATCTTAGCGTTTAAAAATCCCATTGCTTATAGCTTCCAGAACAAAAGCACACCACCAACAGTGCACATGCCTAAGATCCCTATGCATGCACGTTGGAGATCATCTAGTCAGTCTCATTCAGCCTCAGTCTTGTTAAGGTAACAATAAAGATATTTTTTCTAAAGGCACTTGAGACATTAACAAGTCCCTGCAAACCAAAATGCATGAGGATTACAGCTCTTGACAAAATTGGTCATTGCCCCATCTGCTTTGTACAATAACATGGGAGACTGATTCATCCTAATAGTGCCCCCAAAGAGGCGGCACGCTGTGCAGCTATGCTCCTCAGGAACTGCAGAGAAGAATCAACAATCCATGGAGGCAGAAGGAAAGTGAAAAAAACGTTCAGCAGAGTACTCAAAAACATCACAAGGACTCAACACCACCCACCAAACTGTAGGCAGAGGGAGACCCAAAGCCCTAAGTAGGCTCCTGATGTGGCTAACGGATGGGGCAATGCAGATCTTTGGTGGGCTGAATTTTTCTTGAACTGAGTTTTTCTCTTTCCACAGACTTAGCCTCAACACACAAGTGAGAAGAATTTGGCCTTCAGAGTCCAATTTAAAGCCTTCTGAAGTCAAGAGACACCGTTTGCTCTATTTCCTCTATTGGTAAGACAGGGGTCTACATATTGCAGTAATACAAAATGTCTATAACCCATGAGAAACTGCCCTAGCACAAGCTTGTTCACTAGGATTTATTTGCTAGAAATGAGATTGCTGTTCATTGAAAAGTAATAAAGAATAAAGCAATAAAAAAAAAAAGAAAAAGATAAGCTGTTTTAAATTTAGTAGCTCCTCATTTTAATTAGCAGATATTTATTTATCTCAACTTTCTCTTTAGCCTCTATTTGTTTGTAGTAAGAAAGAAAAAGTAATTCTGGTGAATAAACACTGATATTTAGTTACATAAAATATTATACAGGCATGTGCATTACAAATAAACTCAGCCTTAAATGTGTGTGTTATGTCTAATTTTAGGATTTGAGTTTTATCCAAAAAACAGCATGGAAAATTTTGACATGCACACCTCTGTCTCCAAACGGACAAACTAGAAAGGGTAAAAGAAGGCCAAACAGTAGCTTCCACAAGCTGGGGGGTGATAAATAGGGGGCTAGTGGGGGCATGGAGGAATTAAAGTGAAATGACAAAATGATTTGTTTAAAAAAAAAAAAATAGATTTAATGAAACTTTTTAAAATGTGTTTTTCTAGAAATATGGTTACTTGGTGGACATTCCATCTACAGATATTTGTGTTAAAAATACTCTCTATGTGGGGGACAAAGAAACAGGAGGAGGAAGAGCTCATTACCAGAAGGCAAGACTCAAGGATTTCATTTTTGCCTTTTTAACAAAGAAAATGCTAACAGACCACTTGCAACATGAAATTTTAAAAAGATAATCTGGCCTTTCTTAAAGATGGGAGAAAAAAAATAAAAGCATTTTGTTTTATGTATAAGGAGTACTGCTGGGAAGCTAATGCCACCACCCCCTCAAAACCAGTGCAAGCAAGGCCAGAGATGTCTGTCTTTACTGAGTTGTGTTGCTGGGAGACTGAGTTAGGCAAACACAAAGGAAGAAGCCAAAAGATTAAGCGAGATGATGACTATTACCATATTTTACAGTCAAATCAGATGGCACTTCAGCCCAGGAGACCTCTAAACCCAAATAATTTTTCAGAAATGAATTTAGGATTCCTTAGAGAAAGCACTGTTTGTTCTAAATTACCCAGGACATGAAAATAAATAGTGTCTCCAAAGCTGTTAAAGCTGTAGCCCTCTAAGCTTCTTTTTCTACTGTCTTCCCCAGAAATCTTGATACTAATTACAAAACATGTCTTTGGTGAACAGTGGGTGTGCTTACAGGATTCTACATGAACCCAAAACACCAAACGTTTTAAGAAATTGTTACGGAAAAATAAAAAATAATAATAATAAATAAAAAAATACCAAAACCATATTATCTTTCTCCACCCCCCACAAATTTTCACCAAGATGAATGTCTTCTTTCCTGACTCAGCAATCAGCAACTTTGCAGCCAAAGTCTTCTTAATTTTCTTCCCCATAATAGAAACTACAGCAAGGGAAGTTTAGAAGTCTTCAGGGCATGCCGAGTCCTATATCCTTCTTAAATAACAAGTGCCAGTCATGACTACCAGGATCCTCAGCCCATGATCTTTGTATGCCTCATTATTCCTCAGCTAGCCTGATGCCCACACGACAGCTTTAATTCTGGCTAGGAGACAGACAGAAGCAGAGCTCCCCAGCAATAGAAAGGACCTTTTCCAAAGGCAAGCTAGTACATCACACAGTCACCCCTCATCAGAGGCCTTCAGTCAAATTAGTCTTTCTAATCTCATTAGTAGTCACTAAAGAAACTATTATTGACATAACACGCCTGCCCGTCCAGGCCAATGCAAGCACATATTTGATGTGCTCTGACAGCTTGGGTAGCTGCCTGGGAAGTACCAGGATAAAGGAGACCTGACAAAGCTTCTAGGAGGCTTGCATTGGACTATCTTGGAGATGGAGTAATAGCACAGTAATTATCACTTAGTTCCAGCAAAGCAATTGAACGATAGATAGCAAGACCTGTGTGTAGAACACACTTGTGAACTTAGAAAAACAGGGATTTGTGAAGACCCTTATTTCTTATACCACTATCAGAATCGAGGTATGACTGTGAAGACAGTTCTTCATATGAACTTAGGAACTACTAATGTGAGGATATGATCAGTAGTGGAAAAACCATAAAATACACTTCAATATGACAGAAAACCAAGAATATCATTATAGGAAATTAGAACAGTAACACAATTACATTTGAATCAATTCAGCCTGTCAGTTCAGAGACAAACTACAACATAAAACCAAGCTGAAAGCACCAATACCAAAGCTTGCTAAATTTTTAATGCCTCGTATAAGCATCTTTTGAAGTAAATGTTACCTAACCTTCTAAATTCTGCTCAAAAATATAAAAATAAAAATCAGAGACAAAATTACCAGTAACTGATGTGATATTGCTGTGATATATTAGGCAATTTTCAAATAGAGGACATTTTATTTCCAAAGAGAAAAAATGAGACTCTCTTCAGAGGATTCTTGATTTTCTTAGTAACAGTCTCCCTACAGCTTTATGACCAGTATTATAATGGTTCCATACCGTGAAGCTGTTGTTGACATTTTTTGTGCTTGATTCAGCTACGCTGGCATCTGACAGGTCAACTTCATCAAATATTAGAGACTGTGAATGGAAAAGAACACAAAAACATTAAATATAGCCTGAGTCTGCTCTCAAGTATGCTCACATTTGGTGCTTTCATTTCCTCCTGTCCATTCCAATTGGAAAATAAAAACAGAAAAAAAGAGAGGGTGAAAAAATAGAAAACACTGATGAGGTGATAGAATTTCCTATTCTACCACTTAACACAGTCTTATTTGCTGTCTAATCAGATGAGAGTGTTAAACAGTGGTTCCAAGACAAAAATACATACTGCTTTAAAATCTTTTAAGGATTTGTTTTCATTTATTTTTTTTTAAAATAGATCCAGCTTTGAGATGTCTACTGTGTTCCATAAAGGTGGTATCAGAGAACAGAGATTCACACACAATAACATACAAGTGTATTAATCAGCTTTAGGATGGAATTCTAAATTCATGAAAAAGAATCTATTATATGCTATTGGTAAGAAGAGAAAATGGAGCTTAAGAGACTGAAGAGATTCATCTTTCCACTTCTTTGTTTGATGTTCCCATAAGAGAAATATGTGTCTTCATTAAACACCCCAGCTTCTGGCAAAGGATTTCAGTCCTTTTGAACTCACGATGGGTCACAAAGCAAAGGAAAGACCACCGAAAACATCTCGCCCCATTGTAGTCGTACCTTGCTCTTTCTCCTCTATGTCATGGGAAGGAGAAATAATAATAAAAAAAAAAAAAAAAAAAAAAAAGTGTTCACAATCAATGTTTGGGGAGTCTCAGCAAGGATTCAGTGCTGCAGAGTATTTGTGCAACTACCCACTCACTACTCCTTCTTTTCTCACCTTTATGACAGAGATAACGTTGCCATTCTCACAGCTCTTATCTGTCATGTTTATTAAGACTTTGTAAAAACTTCTCAGGGTAGCAACACGCGTAGAAAAGTGTGATAACAGAGGTACTTCAGTGCTGGGCTCCCTGGAGAGACGTCTTCCTTGGTTTACCACAGCCGTACAACTACGTACCGTGCAATTACAGTCACATAGTTATAGAATGAGAGGTTTCTGTGCCTCAGTAATAGTTTTATGAAGAAGACCAGGCTAGAGAAAATTATGGGTACCTCAAGCACCTCACCTACAGCTCCCCTCAGTTGCTACAGCCCTACAAGATATAGAAAAGTAATGCCCATCACTATGAAACAGCACAGTCCAAGCCGCCTCAACAACCCTAAATGCTCTCTGCTCTGGTCTTGAGGGGGAGGGAGGAAATGCCTTTCAGAAAGGAAAGAAGTCTTCCCCTCTGCCCACCCCCAAATTTCCCACTAAAAGTTTCCATTGATGGGAAACAGCCTTTCCCCATACAAATCACTTCTGGCAGAAAATCATCCCATCTTGATTTCGTGTAACAATTTCCATCCCTTTAAGAGCAATATGGGCATTGGATTAGAAGAGCGTTAATGGCATTCAGTTTGTGAGATAGCTCCTAAGCATTATCCAATGAGCCAACACCCGCCCCCAAAAAAAAAAACAACTCTTTAAGATGAACTTATTATTTGTCTGAATAGTCCAAGAGGTTAAGAGAACTGAGATAAACTTGACTTAAAAATATAAAAATTAAAAGATACCATGAATCTTCCTTAGTTAAAGTTAATTTAGCATACTACATCTTATATACTGCAATTTTTAGTGAAACAATCACTAATAAATCATTAAATCATCATGATTACAATTACAAATCTAAGCAAAATTTAAGATCTTGGCATTAGATGTTAATATCATAGAATTACCTTTGAATCCTTAGCATAGTAAAGGGTACGACCTCGAAGCTTGAAATAACGCTTTTTCCACCTCTGAAAAGAACTGGTTTGCTTCAGTAGTAGTCCTTCTTTTATACTTGTCTGAAAAATATTAAAATACAGTAGACAACGTAAATACATATCTAAATAGCTAAGTATATAGATCAAATTTATTGGTTTTTATTATTATTTATGTTACATTTCATCTATTGTATAAATTTCTATTAAGTTGAGACTAATTCTCCAGGCAACCAGACTCTACATAGCTTTTTTTTTTTTTTTTTTACCAATGCCAATGCTGGCAAAATGCTAATTTTTCATATAAAACAAAAAGGCAGTCAAAGAGGTTGTGAAGATTACCACAATGTAATTCAAGAGTTTGGATAGCTACAAAACCACAAAGATTAAACCAAGCAACAGCTTCTGGTGGCACAATGCAAAGAAAAACTGATAAAAAACAATCTACACGAGGTCATTTCCAGTTCCAGAACCTGATTACACTGAGCAGAAAACCAATCTCCACATGGACCCTAATAGACTGAGGTACTTAAAGGTGTGTCTAATTCAAGTATGGGAATTATGCCTTTAAAGTAGATCCAGGATGATGCAAGTTTTGCCTGACTTTAAGTACCTCGCTGAACCAAGGTCTTCAGCATGCACTCAGCTTACAAATAGGCATAATTATGTTACTGGAAGTGTGAGAACAGTAACTGCTTGAGATATTTTTGCCAGGCAAATATTTCTAGTCAAAAACCTATTTGCCAATCCAAAGCATTCTGCTGCAAACCAAATCCTGCCTACATGCAGCCCGTTTTTTGAAATTCAAAAAACACGAATCAGTGTATTTTAAATGTGTACACTGCTTTTGCCAGCATGTGTGGGATTCATCAACCTGATTACATAAATTCTCCACTTAATCTGATGAATTGACACGACACAGCTTCCTAATTGCATCAATCTTGAAATCCATTTTCTTCAGCTTTGAAACGCACAAATAATATGAGAAAAAGCAAGTGCACTTGGATATTATATTCCAATGTAGTCTCCAATGCATAATATTTCCAATTCCTACTACAACACGGGGATGCAAATCTTACAGTGCAATTTTTAGACAATGTGATGTAAACATCATTTGTAGTTATTCTAGACCTTTTAAAGGCTTAATCAGACCTGACTCGAAGTTCATAAACAATTTCATCTGTTATCAGATGTACAATTGTCCTTAACTTCAATGCAAGTAATAAAAACACAGAAAAAGCAGAAAGCACTTTAATGTTCCTACCATTTCCTTTAAATGCGAGGCATTATTGCTATGAACATCGCACCCTTCATTTAGACATTCCTAACGTAATAAGCTCAGAATACAGCCCAACGATGACAAAGCAATTGAATTAATGCTCTCTAAAAAGCAACCCTCTCAGATGAAACACCGTGGATGAAAGTTTTGATTTATCTCCCTTTACTTCACATGACAGCGAGCCAGAACAACACATTCGCTCAGCTGCCCTGTTCTAGCTGAGGGGTAGCAATTCCCAGCTGAAAGGGAGTGGAGAGCATACACGACACACACAACTTCATGATTGCCTGCAATTTTCTGACCAGACCCTATGATAAGCTATTTTTACATGATATAAATAGATTTAATCAGCAATTCAGCCAAAAGCAAGTGCAAGTGCATATTCAAAGCTATATGTTATAGCCATGCAGCCCTTCTGGTTTGCATTGATTGCTCCTTCAGATTTCCAAAGTTATCACACAGGATGGGAGTAGATATAGCTTGTGTGTTTGTCAGGGTTTGAAAGAAATAAAACCATAGAAATACAGTTCCAAAGGAAACAGTACTCCACATGCGTGGCAGGCATTGACTTAGTGGAAAAATTTCCCGAGTGGAAGGAAATCCATGCCCATTGAAACATACTGCAGATACTAGGAGACTCAGAACATACATGTCACACTGAATTCCGTTTCAGGAATTTTAAAAATCCAATGAAAGACTACAAACCTATCTAAAACCTGAGTTATTACTTGCTAAATATTAAAATAATTATTCCATGCCATTTTTAAGCCTACACAAGCCATTTCTCCTTATTTCTACACATACCTTAGAACACTCCTATCCCTAAAATCAAACCAAGGACTTCAAAATTAAATCCATTTTGCAAGTCAATCCCTTAAAATTAACTCCCTGCACTTAAATAACCATACAGGCTCTACAGAATGTGTTTTTGTATCAAAATGTTAGAAAAATACTAGATTCATATACATCTCCCCAAGAAACTTAAGCACTTCATGAAGCATAAATCTGAATTTCATGTTTTGCCACAAGTATGTATTCTGAGCTAAGGTTTAAGTGTGTCAAGCAGCCAGTTCCAAAACTGCAGACACCAAACTTGAGCCCAGTATCTTTAATCAACTTTGTTTAGCCTTTAAAATGTGCAGAAGACACCCAGCTGCCAACTGAGTCATTAGCTGATCTGCTAATAACACTCTCCTGCATCTACACACAAGTCACAACACTTACAGGAATTTACAACTGGAAGGGACCTCCCAGGGTACTGAATTTGGGTCCCCGTTATTACATACAGCCAGGTCTTGTGAATTTTTTTCAAAAACATTCATCAGGATACGGCTACACCTTAAGAAAGCAATCACTACCTTTCCTCTCTGCAATTAAGACAGTACTCCAAGATCTCAGTCTTTGGAGAAACTTTCCTCTAATTAATCTCAGCTGGACATTAAATCTGAAGCATATGCAATAATCATTGCCAATTATATTAACCACTTTCCTACTGCATTTTAGGAGAAACAAAAAACCACACATCTTACAATCGTATTTCACACATTTTCAGGACCACCTCTCATCTGCTTACAAAAATCTCCAACCTCCCCATGCAGCCAGTTGTATAATTTAGTAATTATACAACCTCCCTCCAGATGTATGTGGCTATAATAAAAGCAAAGGTTTAATGGGTACAACAAAGAGTTGCAATTAACATAAATAATATCACAATAAAGGTTTCCTTTAGTTATCGAAGAGCTTGACTGTGTTTTCAACACAGGACCAAATTAATTGCTAACAATCTTTATTACTACATTAGCCATTAACAATTAGGAAAATGATTACAAGTACTGTGGTATTACAATCACCACACCACAGTACTCCACAGTCATATATTTTCCTAAAGACATGTAATCAAAAAAATCAGAGCCACATTTCATAAAATTAAAAAGTTGTAAATTTATGTTCAGTGATCCAAAAATTTTGAATTCAACTCTACACCACAAAAATCAGAATGACAAAAAGAAATAGGATTTGTGGGCATTTAAATCTCTAAAAAATGAGAGGCATCTTCTTCTATATCATCAGATTTTTAAATATTCTGTATATAACATCTGTAATTTAAAAAACAATTGGTTTTGTTTCAACAAGAATTAACCACACTACCTTACTTTTGACTCATTCCGTTTGTGAAGTCCTGCATTTGTGCAAAAATCAAAATTTGTACTTCTGTTGCTCCAAGAAAAACCCAAAGAAGGGAAATTTTTCTGATCGTAGAAAAGAATATAGTAAACTACTGATATATGCTTTACTGGCAGCTGCAAATTGAACTAATGAATAATTAATAACAAGACTCTGCCTTCATTTTCAGGTATATAATTGCTTGTGCTGCTCAAAATGTGTCACAAGAGTGAAGAAAATGTCAGGAAATTTGTACAACTGATGAGAATGAAAATGAGAACAGGAAAGGCCATAAAACAGGCCAGGTCAAATGTAAGCAGGAAATTAAGAGGATAAAGAAGAATTTTAAGACCACCTTGCAACAGATGCTCACGCTGAGACTAAAATGTTCTTTAAATATTTTCAAAGATGAAAGACAGCCAAGCGGCTGCCAGGATCATTTTTCAGCAGCGGCATGAAAAGAGTACTAAAGGATAAGAAGATCATAGTGAAGAAGCTCAGCAAATTCTTGGCATCTGTCTTTACTGATGAAGATGATGAGATGGTTTCTCATACAACACGATCTTTGTAACATCAGAATAGCTACATCAACAAGAAGCACATATATGGGAAATATTAAACTAGTCAAATTGCTCGGTCATGTGGATCGGATGGCACTGACCCAAGAGTCCTGAAGAGCCTGAGAGAACCACTGATACTAAATTTAAGATAGAAATTAAGATAGTAAATAGTAAGATAGTATACTGAGTATACAAAAGAATAAGATTGCTGAGCCCATAAAAAAAAGGAGGTGGGGTGAAATACTTTCAAAAGAAAATATTGCCTTCCTACCTGCAGGTGGAGAGAAAGCATGTGGATAAATCAAGATCCAGTAGACTTGGATTTTCAGAAAACCTTTGACAAGGCTTCCTACCAAAGAGTACTGAAGAAATTAACTTAGAATGGAATTAGAAAAAAGGGGGCTTTTTATGGACTGAAATTTGCTCAAAGGATAGGAAGCATGAGTATGACTTAGTAGTCACTCTGCTGAATGAAAAAGTCTTAACAGTAGGGTTCCCAAGGAATCAGGACTGGGACTAGGTATATTCAACTTCATTGACCCAAAGAAGGATCACGGAATAAAATCTTCAGACTTGCAGCAGATACTAAGGTATTTTTTTGAGTAGTCAAATTCCATGTCAGTGCTTATGTATTCCGGGTTCAATCAAGCCAGAAGAGACAACAAAATATTGAATGTCATCAAGAAAAGTACCACATCAAGACCAGCTTAGGAAAGATACAAAGCAGCACATCTTTACGTCGTAGGTAGTGACTTTGTGAAACGTGATGCCATGGAAGACTGTGGAGGCAGATGGTGTCAGCAATTATAGAAAAACTATCAGATAAATTCAAAAATGCTACCTTCACATACAGTCCCTTTAATATACCATGGGGAAGTACCAGAGGAATGGACCATCGAAGAGACAAACTTGTGTGCTGCTCCTAAGCAGCCTTTCCTATACCCCTGTTGATGGAATCTGTCCCCATAGTAAAACATTTCTAAGGCTGGAATCTTCCTGCAACATTAAAAGCACCAATTTTGTTTTGAATTCTGATGCTAGTGCTTGTGAGTGTCTCTAAGCCCTCATTTACCAAAATAATT